ATAAATATTTTTTTATTTATTTTTTTTAATTTTTTTAAATATATATAATTTTAATTTATAATTATTTTTTTTTAATAGGAAAAAATAGTTTCGAAGTAAAATCCTCGTAAAGGTTTCGAGGTAAATTCCTCGTAAACTTTCCTAGCAAACTCCTCGTAAAGTGTCTACTACGAGTTTACGAGGAAGTACTTTACTACGCTCTTACGAGGAAAGTGTACGTGGAGCTTACGAGGAAATGTTTTCCACGGCTTTACGAGGAAAAGTTTCCTCGTAAATTAGCTAGGCCTTTACGAGGAAAATAGCCTTTACGATGAACGTCTTTCGACGAAACACGTTTCCTCGCTATTTCCTAGTAAAGGGCCATTTACTAGGAAATAACGAGGAAAACCCGTCCTAGTAAAGGACGTGTTTTCTTGTAGTGTGTATTCCAGACATGATATAATTGATTGCAGTCTCATTATTTCAGGACCTTTAGTACCTTGCAGCTTGGCGTCCTAAGCCACATTATATGGTATCTTACGGCCGGCCATGACTATGTCTGGGATGGTTTCCTTGACCTCGGATTTATTATCATTTTCTGCACCTTTCTTTTGTTTCCGAGGATTCTTATCTTTTGGAACCTATTGGTCTACCACGTTTCATACGTTGTTTAGACTCTTTAGCAACTTGACTGTGTCTCTCTTGAACATCAAATTCGAATATGGTGCATTTCAAGCTGGTATATATGACTTAGTCATTTTTTCGGGTCAGTAAATGAGTCTGGCAATTGATTAGCTAGCCTTTGTAAATGTATAATCTTTTGGACGTCTAATTCACATTTTTTTGACCGAGGATCTTGCCAAGACAATGATGGTTATATCCATTCTTATTTCTTTTACCAGCATATTATTTTCTCCCCCTAATCTTGGATAGTCGGATTCATTAAACTTGCAATCTGTGTACCTGGCCTTTAAATAGATCACCCAATAGTCGGCTATAGGTATTTTGTTATCGTGGGAGATTCATATCCAACATATATCCCTATCCTTCTTTGAGGTCCCATCTTAGTTCTCTGGTGGATAAATTGGTACATAGACCGCACATCCAAATGTCATACGATGGGATATGTCTGGGTCTTGACCCGTTAATAATCATGATGGAGAATATCTATTCTCACTAGATGGCCTGATGCGTATTAACTTAGATGCATGTAAATTTCGTGTGGTCCAAGCTGTGACTGGGAGTTTTGACCTCATAAGTAATGGTCTAGCAATCAGTTGTATGCATTTAAAAGATTCTGAGTATGAACATGTATTCACAGAATTGTCCACACTTACCCCCATGGACATACCATAATCATTTAAACGCTTGAGATATGTATTCACCAATATTATCTAGACGTATAGTTTCTATGGAAAATCTGAAAATGGACTTCTAGCCATTTGACTGGTGATGGCCTAATGAGTTTCTCTTGTGTACATTGTACACACGTGAGATTATTTGGGATAACTCTTCTTCCTTTCAATGTGTGATGTTTTCAATATCAATTTTCGCATCATGTTTGAACCAGGATGACCTATCCGGTCATGCCATAAATTGAATATTTTGTGGGCTTCTAGCCTCTATCATACTGATCTTGGCATAGTAAAGAGCAGTAGAGAATGCAAGTATAGTCTTGACCAGTTTTCTATTGTTATGGGCGAATTTTACATATCTGAAGGAACTCTTTGTTTCCTTTGCCCATTGTTTCAATATGGAAACCATTTGTTCTTATATCTTTAAAATTCAATAGGCCTTTCTTGGGTGAATATAAAGCATCAGATATCTCTTGATGCGTGCCCATTAGGCAGCAATGCACTGTCCTGGCCGTAGCTCTTTATTAGACAGACTATACCCGCAATTATATTGGTGTAGACTTTAAGTCTTAAAATCATGCATTCGTTTTATTAAGTTTAACTTAGACAAGACAATAGTAATAAAAATAAATTCAAAGGAGGTAATACAAAGAAAGCATAAATCAAAGCAAACATATAAGCAGTATGTCGAAATCAATTAATTCTTTTAAACAATCAGATATTTCATATTCCATAAGATCATTTTGATCATGGTCAGAGTCATTTTCGCCATCTTGGTGGACCAAATGGGCTTCTGGATTCTTCCTTTTCTGACTCTTTTAATAGAGATCACAAAATGTCTGGGAGTCCTACATGTCTTAGCCCAATGATTCCCCATTCCACATCTATGGCACACTGATTTGGTTGAGTGTGGTGGTTTAGAAATACCACGCCCTTGTCCTCTGCCTCGACCACGGCCAAAGGTGGGTTGATACCCACGGCCTCTGCCATAGTGGTTCCCATGGCCAAAAGAATTGTGGTGACTGTGGCCACGTCCTCTCCATCCACCACAGCCATAGCTGTGTGGTCTATCACTCTGGACGTGGTCTATCACTCTGGACGTGGTTACTTTCTTTAGATTCTTTATTTACCTATGCAACTATCTTAAATAGAGCTGAGTTATACTTTTCCACGGACTTAAAGTTCTGGAGTATGAGATTCCTCCAATCATACATAGCCTTTGGTAATAACACCATTCTTTGGTGACCATATCTCATTTTTAATTATGTTCAAAGGTCAAGAGGATTTTCAATAATTAGATACTGATCCTTGAGATTCTCAACAAGATGATGGTGAATAATCATTATTTCCCTGTATCTATTTCTTTCACTTGCATTTTTGTCCTCGATGATACATTCACAGAGGCCCTTTGATTTCAGTACAATCTGTGTGTCTAATGCCCATTGTAAATAATTATTTTAGGGTTGTAAAGTCCAAATTGTTGATTTTCGACATCATATATCACTCAATTTTAGGTCTCATAGAAAATAAAATTCATGCATCCATATTAACATGTAAACATTGTAATCCTGACGCAATTTTTATATGTAAACAAGCCAAGGTGATATAATTCAAACAAGCCTAGCATACGATCAATGTCTATATGTTTTCATGCGGCAAAGGTGGTATATGATGCAAGTCAATCTTAGAATTACGTGATCTAACATGTACATATGAATGATGCAAACAAGCCTAGTAGTACGGATTCTAAAATGTACAGGAGTGGAACCATATAATCTCAAAACAGTCTTATCAATTTATGCAAAGATCATGCAAAAATCATGTGGCCTTAATCAAGACAATCAACCGGATTCAATGCATACATATTCAATTTAGTGTTTATTATCGATTTCAATCATGACACTAGCAATCTGATATATTAATCTAGGACGCAATCTTAAACCTAAAAAAAAAACTCAATTTGGATCAATTAATTAAAGCATTTATTCGGATTAATAATATGCAATGTGCATATTAGGGTTTTAGGGTTTGGATCCAAAAATAGGGTTTCAATCATGAGAAACAATCAATTTAATAAACAACCCTAGCTCTCAAAACAATCATTCAATAAGATCAATCAATTTCAATATGCGATTAGAATTTAGGGTTCAAAACGAATCTAGCAAACTTAAGGTTTAAGATTTTAGGGTTTTAACATAAGCTGGTCGAGTTTTGATTAAGGCTAATTACGTGTGAGAATTCATAGTCTATCATGTGGTTTCTTATTCTTAAAACATACAATCAGATCAATCAATCAATTTTGATTTTCAAGCATTAATTTAGCAATCCTAGCATCCCGATTCTATGTGATCAAACAATTTTAAAAGAATCTAACCGATAACTTAGTTTAAATTTTCTTGATTCCAACAAATGGTTTCGATCTTAACCTTAGGGTTTCATAATGACCTTAACCTCTAGTCGGGTTGAACGGACCACCAATGAGATAAGGATCGACGAACACGGGAAGGTCGAGACTAAAAACGAGTCCACACGGTTGTGAGCTGGAACGACTTGAGTACGTACGGGTCACGAGCTGGCTGAGATCGGAAAATTTGAATGCGGGATGAAGGATTCTCAATCAGAACGAGAAAGGTGAAATTGGTGGCTGAACAAGGATTAGAGTTTCACACCGGCAAAAAAGTTATCGCCGTCAAAGGTTAGGGTTTTGTGGTTGGAACCTTTTAGCTTAGGGTTTTTAGAGTTTCGTTCAGATAACGTGTTGTATAACTTTAGGAGAAAGTTATATCTTTCATTCAAACATAAGATCCTTTATATAGGGATTACAAGATATAGAAATATGGAAAGATTACAAATCCTAAACTCATAAGGAAAAGGAAATAGTACAAAACATAGTATATATAGGAAAAGGAAAAAATAGTCGATGGAGAAAAGGAAAGATGGTCCAACCGCCTATGGACCAGCCGCCTATGGGTTTAATGGACTAGGCCGATTGGACTACTTTATGATATCCACAATACAATAGTTTACAACAAAGTAAAAAAGAAAAAAAAATATATCTTTCCACTTTATTTTTACTCTAGTTTACTTTGTTTATATTACTGGTTACATCCGTAGTATATATAGTATGTGATCATTAAATAGCAAATTGGGCCTATCATTATGGAACACTGTAACTATATATTTAGTTGATTTTGTGAATGAATTAGGAATAGGATTAGATATGAATTACAGAATGTATGTATTTTTTTAAACTCTTTTAATTTAGAAAAGTTGTTAAATTTTTAGTTCTGTTTTAAAGTTGAATAGTAACCAACTCAGAGTTCATATTGAGAGTTAGGAAAACAAAGCATTAACTACTAACTCTCACTGTAGACTAGAAATTGGAAAAACGAACATGATCTACATAATCTCTTGATACCAAGCACTCTCCTTATGCCAAACTACATATAGTTTTATTTGGAGATAACATATATCTAATACATTGTAAAATCTATCTTCAACAAACGTCAAAATCTTAACTTCTCTCCCCCCTCCAAAAATCCTATAAAATCCATCATGAAACTAAGTCGAAGATGAATTCATCCACCAAGAAAGTGAAGAATATATTAGCTAAATCTTCAACCACACACTCTCTCTCGTCTCCATTAATGCAACCCCATTTCATTTCCTTCACATAAACTTGTCTCATCTCTCTCACTTCCCAGCTCATAAACATCTCTTCTTGTCTATCCATCACCCAATCTTCAACTTGCTTCACCATTAGTATCTCTTCTTTAGGCCCAATATTATCTTCCTGAAGATAATCTAACAATAGATTATCCGCAACGTTAGAAGCTAGTATGTTGTTTGTTTCGCCAATTCTTGACTTCACAAGAGCAAACAAGCGGTTTGCTCGGCTTTCTGATTCGTCCTCTTCGGTTTCTAGCGTGTGATACGAGTACTCATCTTCTTCACTCTCGACATACTTCTCTATGCGTTTCTCCAACTCTAGTGGCTCAAGGTGTACCAAACCATTCAACCTCCTGTTTTTTCTAGCAATTTTCTCATATGTATCTGCGAATTTTAACTGATTAAGTTAGTTCCAGAACGTATTTTCTTCTAGTTTATAACAAATTGTTAAATGTTGATATGAATAGTTACCATCTTTGTCTGAAATATGATCAGTGACTGCATCGTCTTCATCATCATGATACTCATCATCTTTAAAAGGACACTCCAAAATTGATACTGGACTAAGTTGTTCCTTTTCTTCATTCACACTTTCCTACAAAATTTGCAACCACAATCAAATTCGTTTCAAATGTGATCACATAACATTGCAAAAGAATAATTAAAATAGAAATGGTCTCAGCAGAAATAAAATTAATAATGATATGAGAAATCATAATGACAATAATAAGTTGACGAAAGTCAACCATCCCATGACCACATCATGTCTCTCTACCTATCTGTCTCTGCCCCCACACATTAATTATGGTCGGATCCTGCCTTTTATGTTGATTGAGATTATAAGTTTTATACTTGAAAAAATCCTTTCTGTGTTATCAAATCCAAGAATTAATTATCGAAGATTTCTTAGTAAATTTCATGAACATGGGTGCTATATTAAAAATCATTCTTAGATATTATAAGCACTACAACTTAAATGTGTTAATTTATGCGTACCAACCAAACTAATAATTTCTTATGAAATGTGTACCAGTATTTGACCTTGAGACTTGAGGGTAATTAATTGCGTACGTGTAGTACCATGAAAAAAAAAAAAGGAAACTCGCGGGATCATGTGCCGTATAATCCGCATTAGAAGCTACGTATGAAGAATCTCAGCCCTCGATTCAGTCACTAAACTAAATCCTACACCACACGTGACTTGCACGCCTTCCCCGACAAGTTTCAATATATGACCTATTTTTTATTTTAATTAATTATTAATAAAAATCAAATGTATTCACAGTACACTGTACAGTTGTACACTGAAGAAAGAAAACGATCTATTAACGAACTAACCTCTCTGTTACACATGCTGTTGCCGTTGACAGATGATCCGTCACCGTTTAAACACTCTCCGCTCTCAACCACGGCGTCGTTTCCAATCGACACTTCTTCAGCTTCACCGCTCGACTTCGTGGATGAGACCGATGAAGAAGAAGAAGAAGACTGCACAGTCTCCGACGACGACGAGTTCGTGAAAAACTCGCTACCGGAACTCGACGAGTCAGCACCGGAGATAAATTTCTCGGTGGTGATGACCGCCGCAGCTTCAGAGGCTGAGAATGTTGCTGCCTCGTCGTTGGGGATTTGAAGAACCAGATCGGCCGGTTGATCTAAACTCTCTTCGTCAGGGAAAAACGCGGCGGATATCCACCATTGGATCTCTCCGTCTCCGAGTTCGACCGTTACTTCACGGCGAGATTGACTTTCCGGTTTTCTCCAGAAGCGTTTGCTCAAGAGCCGTTTAGATAAGCTTCTAGAGAAAACGCCTTGTTGCTTCGGATCTCCTTTCCGTGAGGTAACGGTGGAATGGAACGGTAAAAGTTTCACGGCGTTGAGAAACGCCGTCGAGGCTTTATGGACGGCGTGACTTATCGCCGTTCCGCAAGTTGTGCGGCTTCTTCTAGCGAGACGTGGTTTGTGATGATGATGATGGATCAATCCTGACCGTTTGATCTCAGCGTCAAGGAGACGACGAACGGTGGATGATGATGAAGGAGGTTGACGACGAGGGAATGATTTGAAGCCGTTGGATGAACAAGAGCTGAGATCTTCGAGTAAGTAATCTCTTAACATCAACGGCTTTAAACGTCTCTTGCTTGTGGAGAGACGTTGATCAGAGGAACAGGTGATCGACGCCATTTGATTTTGAGCTGCTTGTGCTTTGTTTTCAGTGGTGAGATTGACAAACAGTTAAAAGATATATAGTGAAGACTGTGAAGTCTGAATGAAGAAGCTTCTATGTGAGGTGTGTGATCATAAAACCGAGGCTTTTAACCTTTTTTTTTTATAATTAATATTTTGAATTTGAAGTTACGTTTATTTAATTATTAATTGGCTTAGATTTGAAATCAGAATCTACTAAATAAGTAGATATTTAATTAAATAAATAAGATTAATTTAGAAGTGAGAGAGAGACCAGAAGTTGACCTTGTAATAAAACAAGAGACGAGATTCATGCGGCTAAAATACAGTTTTTGCCTCTCACGTGTGTGTGTGCACGTCAGTATTTCGAACCTCTACGTCCTTTCCTCAACACACTTTTCTATTAGATTTACGACAATTTATGTTTCTATTATATACCTATTACTGTAATTTCCAGATCCATATTAGCAGGTACCAACTGTTACATCGAAACTACAATAAATTTCTGATTTGTTTATAATCGAATTTTGTATCTAGTAGAGTAGTAGTTACACATTGTGACTGATAATATCGTTATTGTGTTGCACCAACAATTGTAAGAGGCTAAAAGCAGTAAAACAAGTTCTTTGAAAAAAAAACAACAACAACAACAATTAAAAGAAAAACAATTTATAAGAAAAATGTGAGTACAAGAAGATAAAAATAAGTCTACACTTATTGTGATCAAATGTCGAATTGGTTTGAGAAATGACCGTAGTCGTCTGTTGATCTTGTGTTCAATTGATTTTTTCTGATTTCTCTTTGCCTTCTTTTTCTTGGAGTTTGTGGATTTTTATTCTGCTTCATCTGTGTTGCTTCTTTTGGGTTTGGTGTCAAATGGGCTGGCCATCATCCAAATATATTTGTCAGTTATGGACAATTCCATATACAGAAAAGCTAAATGGATTAAACTCTATTTGCCCGAGACCAAGATGGCAGTGGGCAGCTCGAATAAGTTGAAAGATTTGATTGGTAGCATATATCAAGACTAGGTCGACCAAATATTTACTCACGACAACTATTGTCATCATCAAGACAAGTTAGGTCAATGGCGTCATGGAAAGGAGAGAACTTTAGGCTTTAGATGGAGTAGTGTCTAGACCAGGGCCGGCTCAACACTCTATTGAACTCTTGGGCAAAATTATTTTTTATGCATTATTAATCAAACATATTATTATGAGCCGTTTATTTTTTAAAAACAAAAAATAATCTGGATTCCTTTTATAAGTAAATTCACTTCAATTTAAGGTGAACCCTGGACGGTTACACTGCTCGCCCTCCCCCATGAGTCGGCCCTGGTCTAGACTAAGAAACAGGGTCACATGAGTTTGTGAATGTCTTGATGAATAACAAGATCCCGATGGCTTTGGATCGACCCTTCCTCGTGAGACACTAAATAATGCTATTGGATCTTTAGGAATAAGGAATTTCTTCAGTGTGATAGTTGCGTCTGAAGATGTTCACATGCCAGGCTCAAAACAATTTTGGACCTTTGGCAAAATAGCTAAATTTTTTTTACATATAAAGTATGATAATTAAAAAAATTTGGACCCTTATATTTTATTTTTAACAAAAATATAGACTTTTTCTAATATTTTCCAATACTATTTATGCAGAATTATATTTTAGGGGCTTTAGGTCTATGCACTTTTTGCCACCCTCCGAAGCCGGGCCTGGATGTTCATAGAGGTGAACCGAATCCTGAGATGTTTGTTTATGCAGCGCAGCTTCTTGATTTAATAAGGGAACACTGCATTGTGTTTGGAAACTCAAATTAGACCATTGAAGCTGCTCATGATGGGATGATGAAGTGTGGGGCTTTTTTCTGGAAAGCNGTTTTTGGTTCTTTTTATGTGTTTATGGTCTGGCACATGATTGTACCAAATATTGTCTAAACCGAAATTCATGACAATAAGTCTAGAACTTTTATTTTGGGAATATATAGAACATGACGATAGTTCAGAAGACATTTGATGTTATATGGTAATTCTCGTGGTAGTTCTCATCTATCTATCTATTACTATATAAAAAAAAGAATTTTCTATCTTTTAACACTGCCATATCACTAATAGGGTGTTTGTGGTTTTGACATGTGGATGTTTAGCAAACGTCACCGTTTTGTTTGTTCTGTTTTTTTTTTATGTGGGTTTTAAAAATCTCAGGGCCGTTAAAAAACTGGTCCAGTCCACAGGATTAGGGTTACCACCCTCTCCCTTTGTCGCCGTCGAGAATGTTCTTCTGAAGCTATCATGGCGCTGTTGGTTAGTTAAAAGAATCGTTCTCTAGAACCGTGATATCAAGCAACCGGCGTTTTGTATTTGGTCCTTACCCAGAAGTTTCTGTTGATCTTGTGTTCAATTGATTTTTCCAGATTTCTCTTTGCCTTCTTTTTCTTGGAGTTTGTGGGTTTTTATTCTGCTTCATCTGTGTTGCTTCTTTTGGGTTTGGTGACAAATGGGCTGGCCATCATCCAAATATATTTGTCGGTTATGGACAATTCCATATACAGAAAGGCTAAATGGATTAAACTCAATTTGTCCGAGACCAAGATGGTCAGTGGGCGGCTCGAATAAGTTGAAAGATTTGATTGGTAGCATATATTAAGATTGGGTCGACAAAATATTTACTCACGACAACTATTGTCAGCATCAAGACAAGTTAGGTAAATGGCGTCATGGAAAGAAGAGAACTTTAGGCTTTAGATGGAGTAGTGTCTAAACCAGGGCCGGCTTAACACTCTATTGAGCTCTTGGACAAAATTATTTTTTATGCATCATAATTAATCAAACATATTATTATGGGTTGTTTATTTTTTGAAAACAAAAAAATCATCTGGATTCCTTTTATAAGTAAATTCACTTCAATTTAGGGTGGACCCTGGACGATTGCACTGCTCGCCCTCCCCCATGAGCCGGCCCTGGTCTAGACTAAGAAACAGGGTCACATGAGTTTGTGAATGTCTTGATGAATAACAAGATTTCGATGGCTTTGGATCGACCCGTCCTAGTGAGACACTAGAGAATGCTATTGGATCTTTAGGAATAAGGGATTTCTTCAGTGTGATAGTTGCGTCTGAAGATGTTCACAGGCCAGGATCAAAAAAATTTTTGACATTTGGCAAAATAGCTAATTTTTTTTACATATAAAGTATGATAATTAAAAAATTTTGAACCTTATCTTTCATTTTTAACAAAAATATATACTTTTCCTAATACTTTCCAATACTATTTATGCAGAATAATATTTTAGGCTCTAGGTCTATGCACTTTTTGCCACCCTCCGAAGCCGGGCCTGGATGTTCATAGAGGTGAACCGAATCCTGAGATGTTTGTTTATGCAGCGCAGCTTCTTGATTTAATAAGGGAACACTGCATTGTGTTTGGAAACTCAAATTAGACCATTGAAGCTGCTCATGATGGGATGATGAAGTGTGGGGCTTTTTTCTGGAAAGCNGTTTTTGGTTCTTTTTATGTGTTTATGGTCTGGCACATGATTGTACCAAATATTGTCTAAACCGAAATTCATGACAATAAGTCTAGAACTTTTATTTTGGGAATATATAGAACATGACGATAGTTCAGAAGACATTTGATGTTATATGGTAATTCTCGTGGTAGTTCTCATCTATCTATCTATTACTATATAAAAAAAAAAGAATTTTCTATCTTTTAACACTGCCATATCACTAATAGGGTGTTTGTGGTTTTGACATGTGGATGTTTAGCAAACGTCACCGTTTTGTTTGTTCTGTTTTCTGATGTTGGCTTTGAAAACGCCAGGGCCTTTAAAAAACTGGTCCTGTCCACGGGATTAGGGTTACCACCCTCTCCCTTTGTCGCCGTCGAGAATGTTCTTCTGAAGCTATCATGACATCTGTTGGTTTCTTAAACGAATCGTTCTCGAGAACCGTGATATCAAGTAACTGATGTTTCGTATTTGGTCCTTAACCAGACGTTATAAGTTGTCTTCATTTATTGGCTTTAAGAAATGCCTTAATTCCACCGACACGAATCAAACAGGACGTCTCTTCAATAATACTCATCCAATTCCAACACTGATTTCTTTACCTATAAAAGGGTAAGCCTTTTATACTTGAACATCATCCTCAGATTTTGTGACCATTCAGAAAAAAAAAGTCCTTAATCATTGGCTACTTCATATGTTTTCACTACAAGAAATATGTACATTGTTAACGCTGAAAATATGCTATATTAGATGTTTGATAGCGAATTCATAAATGCTATGTATACAGCAGCCATCATAGATAACCATTCTAAGATAGCATTTTTTAAATGTTACAAAATATGCAGATATCATAGCAATATTCAGATGATATTATTGACTTAACAATTCACAATAGTTTCAAGCTATAATAGATCATTCGATAAACAAAAAATAATAATAATTAAAAATAAAATAACTGAAATTTAAATTATTTTATAATTAAAAATAAAATAAATTTTATTAATAAATTGAAATTAGTTTACAAATAAATTCTGGTTTACAAAAACTAAACTAAAATTAAAAATTAAAGTCAAACCACAATAATTTTCCCAACCTTGTTTACACTAAACCAAATCTAAACAAAAAAAAAACTAAAACCTAAAAAAAAAAAAGACTCCAGCCGCCATAGCTTCCTCTTCTTCTTCCACCGCCAATGTCTTCAACCACTGTCCTGGTCGGCCTCCACCTCCTCCCGTCGCCGTCTTTGTCATCGTATTCCCCGTGAAGCCTCCTCTCTGTCACCCTTTTGTCATCGTCTCTCTTGAAATCAAACGCATCGACTTGCGTCCTCCGCCGCACCACCACCTCCACCTCGCCTCCTCCTACCCATTACACATAAAATTAGTTCAAAACAGAGAGAGAGAGAGAGAGAGAGAGAGAGAGAGAGAGAGAGAGAGAGAGAGTTAGGTCATGGTGGTGGTGGGACGGCAAGCGAGCCGTCATACGTCTCGAAT